TTTGTTGCATAACAGGAACCTGCTGAAAACCAGTTTTTGACTGAGTCAGGCCAGTTTTAACTGTAACACACAAGGTTACTTTTAGTTCCTTTCCTGTATAAATAAAGAAAATTAAATGAAAGTAAGTTAAACTTAAAATAAACGTTTTCTTTCCACTTTCTGACAAAAGACATTTTATTGACGCAAAATAGACTAAAATCTCAAAATTGTCCAGTGCACATGCAGTGTCTCCCCTCAAATGAAACACCTAAGATAAGGGGTGAGAAGTGAATCATAAAGTGTCAAAATATGTTCTTGTATGCTCTGAAATTTTCTTTTAAGCCAAATAGATGTCATTGATTCGACAATTTGCAAACATTCATTCATTTCAGGTGAAAACCCTGTCCCCAGAGCCAGAATATCAAGTATGTGTTTCGGAAACTTTAAGAGCTCAATCTTATTTTAGCTCTCATATATGCTGCTCTGTGCATGTGTGCGTGGTAGAACGTGTGTGTGTGTGTGTGTGTGTGTGTGTGGGGTCGTCTTGCTTTACGGTGAATTTGAGGGGTGGGTAAGGTCATGAGTCAAACCCACAGATCTATTTCCAGCAGATACACCCCCTCATCTCTCCCTATGCTTCCTATCCTTTACTTTTACTCTCAGGTTGTAGACTCAAACTGTCTGCTTAATGTCCTCAGTGACAAGGGAGAGCTGTTCATTTTCTGCTGGAGCGAGTGCAGAGTTGATAACACATCAGCTTGCACTAAGGGAGTCCAACACGTAGACAGTTTCCCATTTCGGTTTGTAAATGGATATGACACCTCTGACTTAGAGTTGCACGAAGTGACAGCTTGCTCCGTGCTTGCTTTTATATTTCTGTCTTTTACCTGCACAATAATCCTCTCTCTCTCTCTCACACACACACACACACGCACAATTTGGTTCATTCAGTCCCAAAGTGTTCCTCCCTTCCTTTCCACCAAAAAACTTCAATTATTCATGAGTGATCACAGCACCCACAAAGAGTCATGTTCCCACTCCTACAACCTTACACCAGCAAGCCGATACACTGTTCACAATACTCCAAGTCACATAATAACAAGGGAGTCACTTTACGGTTGATGCATTCCTTCACACACAGACACACACACACACACACACACACACACACACACACACACACAGCATGTACCGTGCGTGTGGGTGTGTGATGAAAAAGCTGCTCACTGTTATAGTTGCTTACCAGTGTTTATTGTGACAGCAGGTGAAGTTTGGAGCAAAAAAAAATCTATTAACACCTGCAAACTGCACATAAAGAGCTGACAGAGTTTGGATCTTATAGGCCTATAAGCCTGTATCAATTTAAACACATGCTTCACCAACTCTGCCTGACAAAGACACTCCTTGTGTCAGATGTTGACAACGCTTTGCAAGGTTCATCGGGCCAGAGCAAAGATGCAGAGATGTGCTTTTCAGGGTGCATTTCAGTGCGTGTCACCCCGGCTCTCTGTCTCTTTAAATCTCTTTGTCTTTCACACCCGGGCAGCTCCACACAACCACTCAAATCAAATCAAAAAAATCCCCAAGGACCCTGCTCTCGGACGGGGGAGTGCCCCATCTCTTTCTCTCCTCGATGGCTACCGGCTGAGTGTAATAAAGGCCTTTGTTATGCTGCCCTGCTGCAAATCTCTGTTGTTGAACCACAATGAGAAGGAGCAACAAAATGTGAGACACATGCAGCAGAAAATGCTTTATCAGTCACACACACATGAATTACTGACTCTAGTAGGAAACAAGCCAAAATGCATGAGAACAATATGTGACTTAATCAGCTTAAGGAGTTTGTGGCTGTCAACATGATTCAAGAATTAAAAAAGGATCTGTGCCTGATTGCATGTGGCTTACCTGGTACAGTAAAGATAAGGATTGAAATGTCATGAGATTCTACATTACATAGCCCGTGTCCAGGCACACAGCTTGAGCAGGTGCACATCTGCATGGTTACTGTATACAGTATCCTACCAACAGTAAATTTAAAGTGACAGCTTACTGTAGGCACATTGTCACAGTCAGAGAAGTGCACAGATAAGTTCCAGGAAGCAGGCTTTTAAAGTTAGGAAAATGCACCTTGTGTGATATAATGTCATGCTGTTTTTTTGTAAAAGAAAAAAAAAGTTCATGAATCACATCAGACATCATGTGCTTACTTACTTCTGTCAGCTCACTTTCAGATTTTGAAACCAGCTTCCTCACAAAAGCTTTCCACTTTCACCAGAGCAGTAGTCCTTCAGGCTCTGAGCTTCCATGGCACCAGGCACACATGTAGCAGAAGTGAGTGATAGTCCCAGCGGTGTGGTTTCAGGCAGAGAGAGTGTCCTCACAACTTCACTGGTGTGGACAAGTACCCACCACTACATCAAGCCGCTGGTGCCTTTTCAAATGACTACTACTGGTGTGGGACCAGTGGCTTTGGGAAAACCTGGAGTGGATTTCAGAGTGGACTACTTTGCCACAGGAGAGGGGTTACTCATTCATTCAATCTTTCCATTCAACATTAGGAACAAAAAAAGAAAGGAAGACTAATTAAATTATTGTTTATCAAAATTTAGGCACAGTGACACAAACATTACTGTGGCAATACCCTTGTTTTTCTGTCTTTTAATCAAGGCCGTAGCCACGAATTCAACACTGGGAGGGAACAAATCTGCATGTAGGTCTGGGGGGTCCCCTTTTCTAGAAAAAAAATCAAAATTTGAAAACTTATTTATTCTTATATTACAAGAAAGACAGCTGTACGGTAAACGACACGATTATGCAATAAATAAACACGCAAAACTGGTGAACACTGTAACTTCAGCACATTCTCATCCCAAAGTCGTGAAATACCAATGCTCGGTCAGTGATTTAGAAGTCTGACACCTGACACCTTAAGCCACCATTCACGGTGGTATGATACATGGCGGGGCGTCGTCAGTGTGTGACGCGGCAGGATGTAAATTTTCACTGTGTTATGATACACAGCCAGTTGACTGGACGGCACGTGTCACGGCAGGATGATGCGCAGCTGGATGGCATCAGGTTAAAATGCTGCTGGTAACGATATGATATAAGGAGCTGAAAAGTCCCTATAGAGTGGGTGGATCCAACAAACCATGGGGCCAAGTGTTCACTTCCTGTATGAATGAGGAGCCAAACCATGATGTTTTTATTTAAACATAACTACGTGCTTTCGTTGTTTAAATCTGTCCATGCTTTCGTTGATGTCACAGCATTAGTAGCTGCGTCCTGGAATGTCAACAGCAGATGCAGATGGATACATAGCACGTAACGCATAGACGTGAATGGCCACCGACAAAGCAGCGATATGTGACAACTTGTTAAGTTTTATTTATAATTATGATCACATTTAATGATTATTTTGGGCAGTGGCATTTGGTTGCCTGTTGGTATATTTAAATAGTAACCTAACCCTAACCCCCCCACCCCACATATATATTAGAATCACTGCCTTGTTTTAATTGTATGAACTGTGAATTTTACTATCCTACCATCCTGTACTTTCAGCAGTAATCATTTTGCAAAATAGCGAAATGAGAAGATGCAAATGGTCCTATACCCTCCTTAAAAGTTTCAACAAATTTCTAACTTTTCAAATAATCTTTTTGTTCATTTGAATCATTAAATAACTAGGATACTTGCACATTAAATCTGAACAATTGGTGAGTGATGTATTATGCAGTATGGCAGGTGAGCATGCAGCCTGTGTTGATCATTAATTGCACCAGAGAAATTCCTACTTGCACAAATATTAAATCATAATCTAAGATAAGATGAAGCCAAACTAAATATTACAACCCCATCTTAAACTTTTAACCTCTTCAATGGACGTGACTAATTCTCTGTGATCTCCAGCTTCAGTAACTTCACTCTGCTTTGCTCTCCCCCTGTTGTCTGTCTGAGCCATGGTTTCCCTCCAACTCCTCCCTCAGTGACAGTTCAAAGTCTGGCAGCAACAGCCATCAGCCTGAAATGCACCTTACAATTTAAACCGGCCCACCAATCACGAGCCTCTCCAGCCGTAACAGTCGCTAGTAACATTTGCACAACAAAAGGGAGCTGATTCATCGACCGCCTCCCCCCCTTTCCTTCACTCCCTTTCCCTTGACTCCTCCTCTGCAGCCTTTGTGTTCGGACCCAAAATCCCCTTCTACCCATGCAACCCTCCTCCCCTTTGCACTAATCTCCTTGAGCCCATTGGATTGACTGCTCCACCGCTACCTCTCACTGCACCAAGACCCCCTCACCCTGCACCCCACAGGACACACATCACAGTCTAGCTTCATCTGCAGGCTCCACTCCTGCTCCTCTTATGTGCATGGTTATAACATGGATAACAACCACAGCACAAGGAAGCACAGGGTGTAATTTTGGCAGTGGACGTTGTACTGCAAACAATAATGACAATCACATGAGCGTAATCATGGACACACAGGAAATTTGCTTTGTGGTTTATGCTTCAGGATTATTTGCATCCAACATGAACAGATAGAAATCATAATGTATTCATCTGGTGTGTGTTTTTCATATTACCTGAAATTAAGGGCAGGTTACAGGCTTGATCTCTTTCTGTTCTATGTCAGTGCTTCAGTACTCAAATGTCTTGGTCATGTTACGGCTAAAAGGGCCCTCTTTGTAGGTACTTAAAGACCCCCACACATACACACTGCATGTATGGCTCCCATGGGGTTTGAGGGTGGCCAATATAGAGTTTAGCCTTTGCCTGGCTTTGTATTTCACATTTGGTGTTTCTATAGCAACAGCGAGAGGGACAAGTGGACCCCCCTTTCCATTTTAAACACCATTAACATACTCCGCCCCCCTTTTGCGATTAGTGGGGTGTCCCACACACACACACACACACACACACACACACACACACACACACACACACACACACACACACAAACACCAAAGGAAGAGTGTGTGCTTGTAGTCTAATGGGGTAAGTGAAAGCCAAGGGATTTGTATCATAGAGGTTTTTAATCATTTTAAATTTCTAGAGACTGTGACATACAGTCAAAAACAAACCACAAACCTTTGTAACAGGTGTAATGGGGAATGTAACACAAAAAATACAGTTTTTCTTTGGTAATAATCAATAACAGTTTTGACACATGTGGCACACATGGATGATCAATGATGGACGGCACTTTTTGTAGCCTGTAATGAGACTTTTAAATAACTTTTAGATGTGTCACTGTATCCATAGGCAATAACAGATATGCTGGCATGTTAGTGCATCAAGTCCTCTTAAAGATCCTCCTCATCAGTCTGAACAAAGCGCTGTCCCTGACAGCCCTGGAGGCCCTCTCCCATAGGCTGTCTTGCTTCCACAGTCCCCGCCCCCTCTTCTCAGCTTTGACCTCTGCCCTGTGCAGCCGTTTGTGGAGACGCCAGTAGAGGCGAGAGTCCGGCTGTATCCCCACCACAGGGGCGGTGCGGGCCAGACCCTGCCTGAGGACCTCTTCATTCATACAGTAGCTCCACATCGACCCCTGCTGGAGAGATGAGGAAATTACTTCTTGGGTTATGAGCTATCAGTCTGACAGTAAAGAAATACTCCACGCAAAAACTTTTGTACATAATTTAGTCTTGCCACGTCACCTTGAATTTGTGAAGAAGACTTGCATGACTAATTGATATGAAAATGGTCATTCTGTGGGTGAAGCTTTCCTTAAAATATACAATAAAAAAGGCAGTACTAATAAAATCATTTTTTTTCTGCCACTGACTGAGAGACTCATTAATAAACGCCTCACCCTGCTTTGAGACACCAAACAGTGTAGCATGTCGTTATCTCGGCTGATTAGTTTTAGCCAGACTGTTTGGGAGGGAGCCAGATTCTTCTGCAGCCATACCCTGCCCTCTGGAGTCAGCTCCACTCCTGCAAGATGCACCAGCATCGGGGACGTGCACACACCTAGAGAGGACATAAAAGAGCCATTTACCATATGTGTTACAATAGATAGGTTTAATTGCATAGGTTGAGTGGCCAGAGTGTAGTTATGCACACTCTGTGTACACACTTGAGCGGCTGTGGCTCGGAGGCAGAGTGGGTCGTCCACTAATAGGAAGATTATCCCCGGTTCCTCCAGTCCGCATGTTGAAGTATCCTTGAGCAAAATACTGAACCCCAAATTACTCCCGATGGCTGTTACACCAGTGTGTGAGTGTGTTAAAGCTGAGTAGCAGGTGGCACCTTGTATGGTAGCCTCGGCCACCAGTGTGTGAATGTGTGTGTGAATGGGTGAATGTGACTCGTAGTGTAAAAAGCACATATACTGATTAAGATACTGATTATGCTGATTATCATTAGGGCTGGTTCTGTTTGATACTTTATACTAACGCTGATACCTGAGTTTTGTTACTGATTTCAAAATGATTATCTTTTTGATTTTTGCAGTATTGACTTAACACAAGCAGCTGTACTTTGCCAACAGCAAGCAGCAGAGATTTGGACTGGAGTCCAATTCATGTGACTCAGACTCAAGTCACAAATTTCATTACTTTAGACGACTTGACAAAATCAAAAAAGAACACCAATGACTAGTAACATCATTTAGACTCCAGCCTCTTGACTTATGTGACTTATGTATCATGTGCCATGAATCAATTAATTTCCCATCATCTCCTGACTGAACTAACATTAATACTTTTCAGTCCCAGCAAGTTGTCACTTAATTGCTCAGATCTATTCTGTTTAAACCAATCCAATAGCATCCTGTCAAGTTGCAGGAGAGAACCATTGGAAAACTAACATTAAGTTACTTACAACAGTTGGAAAAAATGACACCAAAGGTAATTTTGTTTGCATACAAAAACTATGCGGTCAACAAAAACGCAATTGCAGCAACTTACAAACGGAGACGCAACTTAAATTATTTATTTTTGTTTGTTATATTATCGATAAGTATATTGTTTACCTCGTATTGTTTTGCTTTGCTTTGTTCTATTTTGGTTGTTTTTAAAAATATATATTTTTAAGAGGTCCTACGTCAGTTAATGTTCTGTTATCTGAAAAAATTTAACACTAAGTAAAAAGTTCAAAAAACAAATGGAGACACAAAAACGTCCAAACAAACTTGTTTTAATTAATATACATTTTTAAAAGCATTCATAAATTTTGTAAAAGTAATACATTACTCTGTTCTTGAAATGGCGTTAACTTTGGTGACGAGCACATAATGACTTGTTTCGGACTCAAAACTCAAAGTTAAGGACTTGGGACTTTTCAGTCTCGTCTTAGAGCTTGACTTGTGACATGAGTGCAAACACTTGGCTACCAAACTTATTACAGAGACTACAAATTAGCTTCCAAGACAAAGACATTTACAATACTCATTGATACACATTTCGATTATCAATTTTGAGGTATTGAGATTTAGTGTCGAGCCCTAACTGTGACTGATTGAGCTTTTATATGAAAAATAGCAAACGCAGCCCAACCACATCTATGAAATACACACTAGTACATTATCTTTGTGTAACGCCCACGGGCCCAAACGATGGGTCTAACCAGCTTTAAAGCCTGGGAGGTCAAGTAGGACAAAGGTAATATTTGAAATAGCTCAACAAGAGCCAATCTGTTCATGTGAGTCCTTCACACTTAAGTTGCTGATGGAGCACTCTATATATAAAGCACAAGCTGCTTGATTCTATTGCTCGGTGAATACAGTGATTTAATAACAAAGCTAACGAGCTTACCTGTCACTCTCACTCATGGAAAGATAATAAAATACAACAGTGTTTGACATTTACAAAGTAAAAATGTCACAGTGACATTTTTGGGGTGCACCTGCTATAAACTGTCATGCTGTTGAACTAATGAGACAAAATTTGATGTGCTGATTGAACCCTTTAAAATTTTCAGAATTGTAATGGGTTATCATTGTGTAAGGAGGCGTACAAGCTGTCTAATGCGTATGTGTGTGTGTGTGTGTGTGTGTGTGTGTGTGTGTATGTGTGTACCCTTGTGATTTCACTCAAAGGATACCCCACATTACCTTTGTGTTTCAAAAGTAGCGGAGTGAGCACTGGCAGATAAATCGGGACATGCTCCACTTCAATTCCTCTGTCTGTGATTGAATGAACTTTCCCGCGGAGGCTGACGTTCCTCTCAATAAAACGAGCAGGGATCTCAGATGCAGCTTGAAACTTGGTGATCTGAAGAGGTGGAATGAGACAGCTGAGTGGCCACGTTAAATGACTCATTTGGGTAAGATGTTAGAAAATGCATTTCATTAACAACCTACTAATCCAATATAATAAGATGCAATGCGAACAGAAGCTGTTAGTCCAGGGGTGTCATTTGAGTTCATGGGCCACACACAGTCTGATTTGATCGCAGGTGGACCAGTAAAACCATTGCATAATATCCTATAAAAAACATCCACCTCCAAAATGTACATTTTTTTAGTTAAATGAGGTACATTTTAATGTTTTTTCCACATTCTGTCAGTCTACTACTCACTATAATTACATGTGTATTTTTCTATACATGTCTCCTCCTGTGCAGTAACCCTGACATCACCACACCAAACTAAAGTGGAAGCTATTGAGTGAACAGGTTAAGTCTTCCCCTGCGTTACAAACTATTTAAAATCCTAAGTTTTGGCAGTGTCAAAGCAATTGGGTTCCACAGGTCTTCTTTTAAGATAGGAGTCTGATACAGATTCTTTTGAACTGAAGCTGCTGATCGACGATATTTTGCACAGTGTTCAATATCTTTAAATATGAACACAATACGTATGCATTGCTCTTTCAGAGAGCTGTATTCTGAGTGGAAAACCCTCTGTAGCAGCGTTTGACATGAAGAAAGCTACTCACTGTTAAACTTGCTCCTAAAACCTGACACTTCTTACGCCGAATTTATACTTCTGCATTGAATCGACGTCGTGACTATGGCATAGGCTCTGCTTCGATGTAGAGCCTATACTGTACCCTATGACGTAGCATTATGTGCACATCCCCAGAAATGTAAAGTTACCCATTGCGGGCGGCAATGCAGGCCTCCTGTCTATTTTTGTAAGCTGAAACCATTTCCCCTCAGTGGACACAAAGCTTTTATTTACTTTAATTTCACAGATAATTAAACAAGAAATTGTGAAGACAATAAAGCCTCCACAAAAACACCATTTTAAAATTTGTGTGTGATTTATACTTAGGGATTTATCCTAGCTTCATATGAGCAGAGGAAATCTCCAATCATTGCTAGGCTAATTTATACAATGTAAAATGCTATAGCCTTGTGGTAACAATGTTAGCATGTTATACTTTTATTTGAATAACGTGTTTAGTATAAGACAGTTGTTTTGTCAGTGAACCTTGTGAGTTGTAATGAAGTTCGCTGGCCGTGAGGCTAATTTATATAGGCCTAATGTAAAAATTCCACAGGTTTGTGCTAATAACATTAGCATGTTATATTTGTTTGGTAAACGTGTTTAGTTAAGACAGTTGTTTTGTCGGTGAACCTTGTGAGTTGTAATGAAGCTGAATTTTGTAACGTTACCTTTGTTAAATGTTGCTGTTGTCTCTGGCTCCATGTGAGTGGAGGGAAAGTTCGCTGGCCGTGAGGCTAATTTATATAATGTAAAATGCAATAGGCTTGTGCTAATAACGTTAGCATGTTATATTTGTTTGGCAAACATGTTTAGTATAAGACAGTTGTTTTGTCGATGAACCTTGTGAGTTGTAATGAAGCCAAATTTTATAATGTGACCTTTGTTAAATGTTGCTGTTGTCCTGGCTTCATGTGAGTGGAGGAAAGGTTCGCTAGCCGCTAGGCTAATTTATATAATGTAAAAATTCCATAGGTTTGTGCTAATAACGTTAGCATGTTATATTTATTTGGATAACGTGTTTAGTATAAGACAGTTGTTTTGTCGGTGAACCTTGTGAGTTGTAATGAAGCAGAATTTTAGAACGTTACCTTTGTTAAATGTTGCTGTTGTCCCTGGCTTCATGTGAGTGGAGGAAAAGTTCGCTAGCCGCTAGGCTAATTTATATAATGTAAAAATTCCATAGGTTTGTGCTAATAACGTTAGCATGTTATATTTATTTGGATAACATGTTTAGTATAAGACAGTTGTTTTGTCGATGAACCTTGTGAGTTGTAATGAAGCAGAATTTTAGAACGTGACCTTTGTTAAATGTTGCTGTTGTCCCTGGCTTCATGTGAGTGGAGGAAAAGTTCGCTAGCCACTAGGCTAATTTATATAATGTAAAAATTCCATAGGTTTGTGCTAATAACGTTAGTATGTTATATTTATTTGGATAACATGTTTAGTATAAGACAGTTGTTTTGTCGATGAACCTTGTGAGTTGTAATGGAGACAAATTTTGGAACGTTACTTTTGTTAAATGTTGCTGTTGTCCCTGGCTTCATATAAAAAGAGGAAAACTTTGCTTGCCTCTACGCTAATTTATATAATGTAAAATGCAATAGGCTTGTGCTAATAACGTTAGAATGTTATATTTGTTTGGCAAACATGTTAAGTATAAGACAGTTGTTTTGTCGATGAACCTTGTGAGTTGTAATGAAGCCGAATTTTATAACGTGACCTTTGTTAAATGTTGCTGTTGTCTCTGGCTCCATGTGAGTAGGGGGAAAGTTCGCTGGCCGTGAGGCTAATTTATATAGGCCTAATGTAAAAATTCCACAGGTTTGTGCTAATAACGTTAGCATGTTATATTTATTTGGATAACATGTTTAGTATAAGACAGTTGTTTTGTCGGTGAACCTTGTGAGTTGTAATGAAGCAGAATTTTAGAACGTGACCTTTGTTAAATGTTGCTGTTGTCCCTGGCTTCATGTGAGTGGAGGAAAAGTTCGCTAGCCACTAGGCTAATTTATATAATGTAAAAATTCCATAGGTTTGTGCTAATAACGTTAGTATGTTATATTTATTTGGATAACATGTTTAGTATAAGACAGTTGTTTTGTCGATGAACCTTGTGAGTTGTAATGGAGACAAATTTTGGAACGTTACTTTTGTTAAATGTTGCTGTTGTCCCTGGCTTCATATAAAAAGAGGAAAACTTTGCTTGCCTCTACGCTAATTTATATAATGTAAAATGCAATAGGCTTGTGCTAATAACGTTAGAATGTTATATTTGTTTGGCAAACATGTTAAGTATAAGACAGTTGTTTTGTCGATGAACCTTGTGAGTTGTAATGAAGCCGAATTTTATAACGTGACCTTTGTTAAATGTTGCTGTTGTCTCTGGCTCCATGTGAGTAGGGGGAAAGTTCGCTGGCCGTGAGGCTAATTTATATAGGCCTAATGTAAAAATTCCACAGGTTTGTGCTAATAACGTTAGAATGTTATATTTGTTTGGTAAACGTGTTTAGTTAAGACAGTTGTTTTGTCGATGAATCTTGTGAGTTGTAATGGAGACAAATTTTGGAACGTTACTTTTGTTAAATGTTGCTGTTGTCCCTGGCTTTATATAAAAAGAGGAAAAGTTTGCTCGATGCTACGCTAATTTATATAATGTAAAATGCCATAGGCTTGTGCTAATAACGTTAGCATGTTGTGTTTGTGGGAAAAATGTGTCCAGCAAAAGACAAGTGCTTTGTCTGCAAACGCTGTGAGTTATAGTGAAGCCAATTTGCGTACATGTGTTGTCTCTATTAAGCCATGTTTAATGTGTGTTTAATATGTGTTTTGAATCAACTAAACTTTACAGCACTTCACAGAAACCCTGCCACCGACTCATGTTTTGGAAGTGTGACTGCAGAGTGACTCAGATACACCACCGCACAAGTATAAACGTTCACAACGGCATAGGCCGGTAAATCCCCCTTTAGCCTTCACAAGTGCATCATTATTAGGTGTGCAAAGTCATCCAGTAGGCCTAACTGGACCCTTTATGGGCCAGTTCTGGCTCCCGGGCCGTTTGACACCCCTGTGTTAGTCTACAGTTGAACTTAACTGTGTGTCAAAATTGAAACTGAAACAAAGTAGGGCGGGTATCATTGTTTGAATGCATTAAACCAAAATGAAACTGTTAGTTGAGTGTGATTTGAGGTTCCCTTGGCCCCAGTGTGTGCTGATATTCTCTTACCAGTTTGATACTCCTTGCTATTATAATCACACCAGCAACCGCCAATCCGGTGCTTATGTTCTGTGTGAGAGACAAGAGAGAAGTGAAGGGTTTAGGGTTGTTAAGATGACAGTGATACCATCAACCCAGCTGAACATGTGCTGCACAATGACAATGAGAAAGACTCTGACAGAGATAATAGTGACAGGGGGGCATCAAAAACCCACTGGGGACTTCTGGTGCTGCCTGACAGTGCAGCTGGTCAGTGGTGACACCATATGGTAAAGAGGACTAGTTTAACAGTCCACATTTCTGATTTGTTTTTAATGCACTCCCCTGTTTTACCATTACAGTCCACTTAAAGAGTAGATGCAGCTGGCTCAGGTACACAGTGGCAATGAGGTGACCATATTGCACCTTCATGCCGGTGCATCAGCAGACAAACTGCAGGCTACACAAAGCAGACTCCTACCCGCACAAGAGTTAAATTATCATCTGCGATCTGAGATATTAAGGACACGATGTTAGGAGACGACTGGTGTCCTTGCTGTCTGTCCCTAGTCCCCTCGTCAGTTTCTGTTTCTCTGGAAGTCTCCGGCATGTTGTTGACATTTTCTCGGTGAATCCAACGCTCCGCCTCTATGGGAGGGACGCACAGAGTATAGCTGGCGTAAAGTCTCCGCCCTGTGGTTTGCTTTGGATATGACAGGATGGCGTTCAAGTGCGCCTGAATGCATTAAGTTTTATATTATAAAACCGCCTTAAAATTGCAATAATTTTCACTTTGCACCGTGAATGTCAAAACTGTTCACTACAAAAAGCTCCTTGTGGCAGTGACATGCAGCGGATTGCAGAAAGTAGTTCATGCACACTGCAGTTGAGATTCATATGATCAACCTATTAGCCTAATAAATACCACTGGGATCAATGACGTCCCCATCTTTGTCTGCAAAACTTGACCTAAATAACTTCATATCTGCAGCATAATTCAATGCACAAGCAAAAAAAAGGCTCAGCCAGGCGATATAATTTACCTCTTATTGATATTTATAATTATGCATATTAGTGCAAAAACACAAATTCCACCACTTAATGAATATTAAAATGATATATCTCAGTTTGACATAGCAGTCACATGCAGCAGATGTTGCACAGTGAAACATGTTTAGTAACAGACATCACTGAGGAGTGACCACTGACTGTATGACAGATGCACTGGAGCTCTCATCTTGTAAACTGTGAAGTCATGGAGCTACTTGAAGACGGATGACGCCCCCATTACCACAAATTGGCCAATAGGAGTTGAGAGGCAGAGTTGTCCTCCTGGCCGCCATTAAAGAATTCAATCCATGGACTGAAATAATGGAAATCTGCAGGACCTATGGATCAGGCAGAGGAAAGTAGCCGATGAGTAGTGTCGCCAGTTTGGCATTTTATCCGTTTTAAGAGTAGTTGTACTATGACGGAGCACTGTGATGGTTTTAGCGAAAAGGAGGGCGGTGTAGCTAATTGTTTTATTTAGCTAGCAAGCTAGCGCTGGAGCTCTGGTATGTTAGCTTTTGTGCTAGCAGGCTAGGAGAGATCAGGGGGAGGGGAGAGTTCCTTTGCTTTGAAATTGTTTCAGATCAGCTAGCTGGCATTAGCATTAGCACAGCAGGGACTAAGCTTTTGGAGTGAAGTTTTTTTTTAGTTTTCGAGCTCGTATTTTTTTATTGCGCATCTAACTTTTCTCGTGTTTGATTTAACGTTAGTCTGTCCGGGTCATGTTAACGCTGACTGTTTGACGTTGAGGTAATGTAGCAAGCAAGCTTTGCGGCTAACCAGATCAGACAATACATTTCAAATAGGATTGATGAATCGAATAGCTAGAAGCTTACAGTTGACGCTATCTGGCTGCCTGTCTAACGTTAGCTTAGCCACCGGGCTAGTGGTGGCTAGCGCCGGTTAGAAGTTGTCTGGTTGTGTAGCGGTATCGTTAGCCGTAGCTGTAGCTAGCAAGTTGGTCAGCGCTTTAACGGGGACAACTACAACTGAGCACCGCTTCGCCAGCGAGTTAACTACATCAGCTATTGCCCCCGGACGGTGATTGAGACAATGGACTTTAACGTTACAACCACGCAGTGAAAGGATGAGTTCGTGCTTTGTACCAAACGGGGCCAGTTTGGAGGACTGCCACTCCAACCTCTTCTGCCTGGTAAGACTATATGCTCTCTGCGCTAGCTAGCGTTAGCTGTGGTGCTGAGAGGCCAGAAAGCCATTTTGGCTAATCAGGCAACAAGCTCTGTAACGTCAGTTGCAGACTGGCGTGAAGGCATCGGGCCTGCAACTTGCAAATCGTGATCCAGCTAACTTTCATAGTAGACAGCACATACTGCAGAGTAACTATATTAAAGAGTTGCTCGTGAATAGTGTGTTTACACTGCACTGGTTACAGAAATACACAACTAGCATTGCATTAGTTATATGATCATACCAACAGGTAAATTATTAAAACCTGTCAAAACATTTTATTTTACTTTACTTAAAGTGACGCTGAAATATCACAATATACATGTTGGGAGATAACCCACATTATTACTGTTATAAATAAGACAAGCTTATCTGATTTTAGACTGGCTTGCAGTGGTGTGCCACTAGTTGTTAATAACTGCTGAGTAAATGGCTGTGTGACAGTTATGTTTTCAGGAATGACCCTGCTGTCACATGTTCAAATATTGCAAAACTTCACAAGATGTCAGCAAGTCTCAGATTCCAACTAATTCATTCAAAGCACTTTTCAGTATGACAGCACTCTGTAGCTTCTCATCCCCATGTGTGTGTAAGGGAAGAAACATGCACGTACACTCACAACTGATGATTGGCTTCATGATGTGCAGCTATACTCACTTTGTTCTTCTCTTTCTTCCCAGGCTGATTTGACTGGAATAAAATGGCGGCGTTTTGTGTGGCAAGGACCCACCTCTTCGCCCATCCTTTTCCCTGTGACCGAGGAGGACCCTATCTTGTGTAGTTTCAGCCGATGCTTGGCGGCAGATGTGCTGAGCGTGTGGAGAAGGCACCACACCCCCGGGCGCAGAGAGCTCTGGCTTTTCTGGTGGGGGGATGACCCCAGTTTCGCCGAGCTTATCCACAATGAGCTCTCGAGTAAGTGCATGCAACATCTCCATGTTCATCAGAAGTGCGTACACTGAAAATATATTTAGTTCCCCAGTGTAAATAGCAACAATATTTGTGTATTTACATACAATCTAAGCAGTTAAGTGCTTGGAAATTGGCACCACTATAAGAAAAACTAAAATTCAAGAGTGTAGCAGTTGTTGCTATTTACAGAACTTTCTAAAGCTGCAGGCAAAATTGGTCCTGTTTTTTTGGAGACGCTGCTCACGTTGAAACATGCTCAGTGTTTGACGACGATGCCAACCTTTCTAATCTGCGGCGGCGGAGTTGAATGTTAATGATACAAAGTCTGATGATAATAAGTTGTGATAGCCAAACTGATTTGTGGCTAACCAGTCTTTTAAAGTCTCTAAAGCCTTGTGGAATCCACTGGCTCTCAGCCACAGAGGTATTGGCTTGTGCGGTAGCATAAGAGCAAGGTTTTGTGCATCAGAGTCACCTGACACAGTCTTGATTTTTGGATGAAGGGTTTGTTCCAGCTTTGTTGAATCTTCATATCTGCATAACAGCTCCCCTTGGGGGCTGCCACACTGACCAGGTATTCTGTCCCCTGTCTCAAGGAGGGTCAGGTGTAACTGGAAAGCAACACAGATTTGGCATTACAGAGACAGACAGAGCAGCATTTTCACAGATGAACTGCAGCTTTAATTTGGACTTGGGAACTTACATTTAATAATCATTATGAAGTATGGCTCTTGAAACATTGTTGATCAGAGTAGAAGTCAGATGGGTGGGTTTAATTTCTTTTCACAATAAGGTTTCACTTTGTATGAACAAAAAATTAAATTTTCTTTCACAAGTCGTTCATGTTAACACTGAAGGAGTTGTATTCTTTTATTTTGGATCATGTTACTGTATAATATCCAGTAAAATGAACTTTGAAATGTTTTTCATATGATCAAATTCAGGTATTACTTACTCACACTTCAGGTTTTACTGTGGTCAGTTGTTTACAACTTGAACTAACTCCCCCTCTGTTGGTCAGACATATTTACCGCACCACCATTTACAATTAACAAGAGGCTGTTTTCTTTGTCAGTCAGAAAAGATGTTTGTTCAAAGTATCCAATTTAATGTATCTGCCTTTTTCCAGGTGAGGAGGACGGTGAGTGGGAGAGTGGCCTGTCCTACGAGTGTCGAACGCTCCTGTTCAAAGCCATCCACAACCTGTTGGAGCGGTGTCTCATGAACCGCGGCTTCGTTCGTATCGGCAAGTGGTTTGTTAAGCCATACCAGAAGGAGGAGAAGACCATTAATAAGAGGTATGTCCCACTTCCTAATAGCAGACAACGGAGTTATATGACATGCCGTAAATTGTCAAATTGCAGCCCAGACTCAACTAACTGTCGGGTCACAAGTTATAGCTGGGGCTGCGTTCTGTTTGAAACAGTGGGAACTGCCTGCATCTCTGCCTGTTGTGTTGGTACAAAAATAAGGTTATGTCATACTTGTCTATCTGTTGAAATAATGTTCTCACTCAATGTTCTCAATCCTGACTGATTCTACCGTTGTCATTGTTAAGCTGCAATTAATAGATCTCAATTTCAATATGAACATACTGGCATTATTTTAAGGAGGTGAAAAAATTGTTGAAAGTTAGAAAACCTATTCAGAAGTCAGAAAAGAGGTCAGCTGAGTTAGTGACAGCAGTGTCGTTGCTGTTAACACATGTAGCAATAGCAAAGGTCCTTTTCCACCTACATCATAAAAGTACAGCTTACATGTACCGTACACTTTGTCCATTACACAAAAGAAGCAGCACAAATGCTAAAGATAAACATGATGTCATGAATTGTTGTTGTGCTGAAGGGCTGAACAAGACCTAGTGTTTGGTATCGGAGTATTAGTAAAGATGCAGCATGTGGGGGCTGGCTGTTACAGTTGTCTTTGTGAAGTGTGACTTCATTTGTTTGGCACAGTGTTTGCATGCAACTTTTTTATGTTTGTTCAAGACAAAAGATAAATGAGTGCGTACGTGCACGTGCTGCAGTTTGGAGAGCCTCACTGGGCAGATGTCTTCAATGAGAGTTGTGCTTTAAACTTCCCATAACAATTCCTGGCCTCTGACAGCTTCTAATTGTTAAAATTCCCTTTTGGGATTCAACTGGAGAGATGGTGCTCGCAGCTGTATTGTTCCAACTCTGTGGTTATAAGCTGATAGCTGTTTAAGGGAATGAGACATCTTCTTATAGGAGAAATGGCTTGAACAAATACACACACAGGGCTTTCCTTAAGCAGTGTAACCATGACACTAGACTGTTGACTGCATATCTGCTGCTCTGATTAACTTCTATACGATTGAGTACACGCTGGGTGCTCCGAGGTCAGTTGTAACTCATATTATTAAAGCGTGTACAGCTTGATTCGTGTTGCTTTGAGTCAGCAGGAACATTTGTATTCCTGGAATTAAATCAGATGTAATAATGATTTTGATGGAGTATGACAGG